GTTTGGGGGGGTGGAGGTTGGGGACAGGGGGGGGGGACGCCTGGGGTCTTGCCTGGAGGGTGCGGAGGTGGGGGGCAGACCCCCGAGGTGAGAGCAGGGCTGAGCCCTGGGGCTTGAGGATTTTGGGGGGGGGGGGAGCTCTGTTCCTGGCTCTGCCACGAAGTGACCTTGGCGAAGTCACGTCACCTCTCTGTGCCTCAGTTTCCCCCATCTGTAAAATGGGGATGGGGTGGGGAGGGAGGGGGGGGGCAACGGTACCGACCATTGTAAAGTGCTGTGAGATTCCTGGATGCAATATTCAGCCCAGCCCCCTCCCAGCGGGGTGGGCAAGGACCCTCTGCCAGGACCCCCACAGCCCCGGACCCCCCGGGGGCCGGTCCTGCTCCCCAGCCAGGACCCTCGGGTGGGGGGGTGGGGGCAGGGGGGGCTGAGGCGCACATTAAAGGAGGCTGAACTGGACGCGTCGCTCTCTGCTCATGGCAGCGGGACCCCTGCCCGGCGGGAGGGGTGGGATGGGGTCCTGGGTTGGGGGTGGTGGTGAGGGGTGGGGGGATGCTCTTGGGGGGGATCTTTGCAGCGCCCCTCACTGCAGAGGCTCCCCCCCATCCCAGGAACCTTGCAGGGGGAGGATGGGGCTGACATGGGGGCTTCAAACCCCCCGGGGGGGGACACTGAGAGGGCTGGGAGCTTGCAGCCCCCCCCACTTGCTGACACTGGGGCAGGTTTGGGGGGCTCATAGCAGTGGAATGGGGGGGGGTGATGGGGCTGGGCTCAGAGCATCATTGGCCGTGCTGGGGTACCTGGGCTCCCCATACGCAGCCCCGGGATGTTGGTGCTGCTCAAAAAGCAAAGCCAAAAATTTTGCAAAGCCAAAACCAGGGTCTGGTGCTGGGGCCCTGCAGAAGGCGGGTGCAGAATGCGGCCCCCAGCGGGCACCGGGCAGGGTGGAGGTTGTGTGGGAGCCAGGGTGGGAGGCTGGGGTGGGCAGTGGCCGGATCCTGCCCACGCAGGGCCCCGTGCCACGCTTCGGGGCGGCGCGGCGCTGTTAATATTTAACTGCTGGTGCCTGGCGGCAGTGGTGGCGGGCGGTGGCGGGCGGTGGTGGGCATTGGTGGTGGTGGGCAGCGGCTGAGGGACGTCGTGGTGAGCCCCAGGACCGTGTCCCACCATGAGACGGGCAGGTAACGCCGTTGGCAGGGGCTCAGGGGCTGGACGCTGTCCTGCAGGGGCTGGCATGGGGACAGGGGGGACGACACGGAGCTCGGGAGTGACACAGCAGGGCTGGTCCGCTTGACACGAGTCCAGCAGCATCTTGCGGGGTCCTTGGTGGTCGTGGGGATGGCTGGAAGCGATGCAGTGGGGACCCTTCCTTTCCTCCTGCCCAGAGGGGCTCCAGCTGGTCCCTGCTCCCACCCAGCCTGGGTACTGGGAGCACCAGTGGGTGCTTTCCCACTCACCCATGGGCATTTCCAGCCCAGGCTGTGGGGAACCAGGATGGGGTGGCAGCCATGCACCAGGAGCAGCTCACAGTGGGGAGGTGACATCCCAGGGCACAGTCAGAGCTCACGGCCGGGTCCCCACGTCAGTGGCCACTCGTAAATCCCTGGCGAGCGATGGGGAAGGAAGGTGGCTCGGGGCCAGGCTGCATGTGTGCCCCGTGGGGGAAACTGAGGCACGCAAAAAGGGCTGGTAGCACTGTGACCTGTGTCTGCTTGCCGTGGGGTTTGCTCCCATCCCTGCTCATCTTGGGGCTTCTCCTCCAGTGGGGCTCAGCCCGGAGGTGGGGAAGCGAAGCAGCCGCCGGATGCACCCAGGGGACCCCCGTCACCCCGAAGCCGCCACGAGCCAACGGCCGAGCCCATCTGTCCCACCAGAGAGCTGGGGCTGCCGGGTATGGAGCTGGGTGTGGGGGGGTGCTGGACCCCCAGGCTGGGCTGGAGGTGTTCGGCCCCCACTTTGCCTCCATGAAGTCCTGGCCAGGGGGGGCGGCTGGAGGCAGCTGGCCTGGCCTGGCTCCTCACTGCCATCCTCCTGGGGCTGTGCCACGGCCCCCTCCTCACCGGCATCTGCCGCTTGGCCGAGGATGCATGCAGCCGCTCTCATCTTCCTCTTCCTCACGGCACTGCTCTGCCTGGCCGGCAGCCTCCCGTCCCTCTGGCTGTGGAGGTGCAAGGTGGTCTGGAAGCACCCGGAGGTCTCCGGGGATCCCACCGTCTCCAGGAGCGGGGACAGCCCCGATGGTCCTCCCCACCCCGTGCCCCCCCGGTATAGTGTGGGGGTCGTGCAGCCTCACACCCCTCCTTTACCTCCTGAAGCCTCCGCCAGCCCGAGCCAGGCGCGTCGTCTTCGAGGACGAGGTGATGCCATCGGGGAGACCCTCAGGGAGGGTCCCCACTGCCGAGGAGGGCAAGAAGCCGGGGGCCAGGTCCGTCCCCCCGGGGCTGGCACCCCGACCACGTGCTGTCCCAGACTACGTAGCGTAAGTGACTCCCGTGGGGATGGGGACGGCCACAGGATGGGGTATCACAGAACCCCAGGGACCCCCGACACCCAACCGAGAGGGTCCTGCCCCCCTGGGCGTGCGGGCAGCGCCACAGGCAGCACCCGGGCTCTCCCTCCCACACCCTGAGCCTCATGGCCTCGTGGCGGTGCAGAAAGTACCCGGCGATCCGGAGCCCCCGGCAGCGGGAGGGCTACAAGGGCGTCTTCCAGGACCAGCTGGCGGAATACACGGAGCTGCTCGGGGAGGTCCGCACCGCACGGCAGAGGCTCGGGGAGATGGAGGCGGCGATGGGCCAGCTGCCCCGGCACACCATGAGCAGGACGGTGGGTCCCTTGGTGGGCACCGGCTGTGGGCACCATGTGTCTTGCGAGCAGGGTTGGGTGTGATGAGTTGGGCAGTCTCTGCAGGGACTGGGGATGAGCCTGGGGACCTGCAGCGGGTGGGGGGGGACAGGAGGGGACGTGCAGACACCCAGGATTCTGCAGCTGCGAGACATGAGCCGTGCTCAAAGTCATCGGGCAGCTGCTAGAAAATTAACAAGCATTTCTCGGCTACACCCTGGGAGAGGTTTTCACTCCGTGGCATGAAGGATGGCTGGCTGCCCTGGAGCCCCCTCCTGTGCTCATTAGCTCCAGCTGCCTCATTAGGGCTGTGCTCAGCCAGGCTGAGCCCCCTGGGGTTCCAGGACATGTCTTTCTGGCCCGCAGGATGGGAGCAAGGTGGCCCACGTCTGGCATGAATATGTGAGGAAGAAAAGGGTGAGCAGGGGAAGGGCTCAGGTTCTGCTCCCTGTGCTGGGAGGCTGCAAGCCCACGGCCTCCCCACAGTGCCTCTCCCCCCTCCCCAACGCTTGGGGGGGTCCCCAGGGCACCGCAGGACCCCGGTGCCGTGGCAGGGTTCCTCCCAGCTGAGCACGGTGCGGCCGGCAGGATTCGGCCTTCCTGGAGAAGCAGCAGCGCTGCGAATACCTGAAGAAGAAGCTGACGCACATCAAGGCGCGGATCCAGGAGTACGACCGCGACGCCCGCGACAGCGCCGTCTATTTCTGAGCCTGCGCACCGGCCGGTACTGACGCCGTGGGACGATGACCCCAGGGGGGACCCCAGGGGAGACCCCAGGGGCTGGGTGCTGGGGAGGGGGTGGCGATGCTGCGGGGATGCAGCCAGAGCCCCCCCAGCCATTGCACCCACCCGGGGAACGGAGAACAAACCCACAGGCTCCTCGTGCCGCTGGTTTTGGGGTCCTCTGGGTGCTCTGCGTCCCAGGGAGCCTCCTGGGTCTGGGGTCCCCTGGGAGCTGCCCTGGGCGCTGGGTGGGTGCTGCCTGTCCCCGCGTGGGAGCCAAGCCCTGGCTGTGCCCCCACGTTACCCCATGTGAATTGGGGGGGCGGGGGGGCACCCACCCCGGGGCAGTGGGTGCTACTGCTGCAGAAGTGGCCAGAACTGGTTTTAATAAAACACGGTGATGGTTTTTTTTTGAGGGGGGGGTCTTAATGCGCACCCTGGGGCAGCCAGTGAACGCGTCCCACCCCAGCACCCGTGGGACCCTCCCGTCCCCAGGAAAACAAGGGGGGGGGGGGGGTGCTGGGGAGGGGGCAGAGCAGACCCCCAACTCCAAAACCCTTCGGGACCCCAGCCGGGGGGTGCCCCCCCCGCGGCCCCTAATTCCCCCCC